CTCGTACAGAAATATTCCAGTAGCTGTGAAGCGAGTAATTCTTTTTTCAGAATAAAGGCTTAGCCAGAAAATAGAACTCAATTGAGAACTCTGTGCATGTAAACACAGTCACTGTGGTGCTTTATTGTAATTGACTGTGGCTAGTCTTGATAATCCATATTTTCACACACTACCGGGTGGCGAAGCATCATTTAGCACTGCCAATTAGTCTTCATTAGATGCAGCACTGTATTACACATAAAGAAAATGTGATTTGCATTAATTGGATGGGAGATTATTTTCAAACAGAGACCTTGCTACAGGTTCTTAGATATATAGGTGTCAGTAATGTCACAGTAGCAAATGTTCCTGGATAAACATCCTTGGTGGTCTAGAAACAACATTCCAGGTTTGATTTAGGGTTAGAGGTTTAGATCTGTGGTTTAGTGGCTGTGAATAATCAGTTAGACTGGGTTTAGCGATTTTATGTAATTGATTATTGGCTGGGAACCTTAAAGGAACACTCCACTATTTTTGAAAATAGGCTCATTTTCCAACTCCCCTAGAGTTAAACACTTGAATTTTACCGTTTTCGAATCCATTCAGCCGATCTCTGGGTCTGGCGGTAGCACTTTTAGCTGTAGCTTAGCATAGATCATTGAATCTGATTAGACCGATTGGAGTGTTCCTTTAACATTCAGGACTGATTTTTTTTTATTCAAACGAGGTCAGGCAGTTTTTTCATATCGACCGACATCATTTGCATACCTTTCTTGGTTAAATGAAAACTTTGGATTTGTTAGAAACGTTTTTATTTCTTCACTCACTATTTTGCCGTAGTATGATATATTTAGCCAAGTTCATGGCTCATTTATATGGGATTACATTTCTGCGCGCGAAAGATCATATTTTGAGCGCACAAAAGTGCATTTTGCACGTGCGCGATCTGAGTTTTGTGGAGAAAACGTTCGTTTCGCAAAGAAAAAAGTATTTTGAGTGCACGAAAATTAATTTTGCATTTAAAATAAGTTTTTGGATATGTGCAGACTAGCTTGCTCAGACAAACATTTTCTCCACAAAACTCAGTTCACACGCGTGCAAAACGCACTTTTGCATGCTCAAAATATGATCTTTCGGGCTCAGAATTCCGGCAGAAATGTAATCCCATACATTTAGGCCTAGACATAGTTATAACCCTCTTGACTGAGGTTATTTTAGGCCTGATGGGAACAAAGACCATTTGAAACCTGACACCTTTAGCAGCAGCGATTTATTATCGTGATCTGGCATGAAAAAACGTACAATGGACATATTTATTGATGACAATTTCCATCTGGCATTTTGTAATTCGGTTACATTAACCAAACACAAAAAAATATTTCATTTGTTAAAACCATAGTCAGATACAAATTACAACCCGCCAAAATAAACATCCCGTTTAATTTGACGAAATTAGGACAAAAATATATTACTATTTTATAATTATAGTCATTATAATAAAGTTTATTAAATTATTATTTAGGAACATCCCATTTTTTCATCCATGTTTTAATTTACATTTGCATTTAGTCATTTAGCAGATGGTTTTATCCAAAGCGACTTACAAATGAGGACAATAGAAGCAATCAAAACCAACAAAAGGGCAATAATATGTGCTGTGACAAGTCTCGGTTAGCCTAACGCAGTACACGTAGCAAGGTTGTTTTTTTATATATATAATAAAGAAAAAGAAAAACAAATAGACAGAATAGAAAAAATATAGGGAACGCTAGTGTTAGAGGCTCTTTTTTTAAAATAAAAATAAAACAAGTCAAAAGAATAGAAGAATAGAGAATGCTAATGTTAGAGGGTCTTTTTTTCTTTTACAAAGAAAACAAGTAGTAAGAATAGAAATAGAATGGAGAGTGCTAGAGTTAGAGGGTCAAATGAAGATTAAATTTAAACAGTTTAAATTTAAAATTTAAACACCTCTATTGTGCAGCACTGACAAAAAAGAAAGTGATTTTTCAAATATCATTCGATTAGATCTTAAAAGATGAATGAAATTGTTAAAGTTTCATGCTTTCATTTGATAACAATAATTTTTGGCAATAAATTTGTATTAAATCATATAAAACAATACAGAAAAAAGTAAACAGAAAACACAGAATTTCTAAATGAATGAATGAATGATTGAATTGAACATATTTCATGGGGCCATATTGTTAAAATGTTATGAATTAAACTGATTAGACATCCTTTTTGAGTAATAAAGTTGAATGAATTCAAATGGAATCCAGAAAAATGCAAACAAATAAAACATTCCATAAGACACTACCGTTAAAATTGTAATAAATTATTAAATTGCTAAGGTTTTATTAATTCAGTTTATTAGATCTTTTTTATTTAATGAAATTTAATTAATTAATTTGGGGAATGAATGAATGAATGAATGAATGAATGAAATGGATTTCATAGTGCAATAGTTTATTGTCATTTTTGAGACTGCATTGCTTAGACAGAACTGTTGTTCCAGGACCAACAGAAGATCCGTAAACACATTCAACTTGGCAAAATCCCGGCGACCACAGGTGTGAACCAGTGGGCACCAACATCTCACTCTCGTTCCTCTCCCTGTCTCTTCTTCTAATTGGTTGGTGGATCGCCTTGAGGGACGAGAAAAAAAACGAGACAGGCACAAGTAGCGATCGCTTTGCACTAATGACATGCATATGCCACCACCACCACCCGTGGACATGACTATCCAAATGACACACTGCCAAACTCCTACACAGCCAGCAGACGGCCTCACCGACGCCTCTCTGCTTTGCTTTTTGGATTTCTGACCTAGTTTTTCAGAGCCCCGACTGACTGATGTGCTGCCCCTTTGAAATCTTGGCTGTCTTCCGATGTTATCTGAAAACACACACCCACACCTGTAATTGAGCGGCCGCGTCAAATGCAGCTTTAATTAACCCGTCGGCAGATTTCAGAAACCGCAGCGTGGGTGAATCTGGGTGGTGTTACGCCGAGCAGATGTTGGTGCATTTGATTCTAGGAATCATCAACTGCTCAAGCGAATTCGTCATTAGCATGCTGTGATGCCACAGATTTAGCACCCGTGACGTCTGATAGCAGTTCCTCTGAGAGCCGAGAGCTTATTTCATTCACCCTGAAGCTTCAGCAACACTTGCCAATCAAGTTTTAAATTATAACACATGCAGGCTAATTTTGAGGACCTTTAGAAGCTGATGAAAGTTTTTGAGTGTTAAGTAGACTCGATTCCCATCCCTCGGGAGATGGAGGTTACAAACTAAATATTTTGCAATGCTTTTTTTTTTCTTTTCCAGATCAACTCTTTACCCAAACCCTTCTTTTCTAACTATGAGACTTGCTCTGATTACTTGTAGGCACTTCAAATCTAGTTGTGCCATTCTCTTAGAATTGTATGCATTTATACCATTTTAAACAAGTTTTAATTTACTCAGTGTTTTTAAGTTTTTGTCATTTTAGTACTTAAACTAAATAAATTAGAAATGATGCCTAATGGAAATAAATGTAAGTTGAACAACGATGACTAAAACTGAAATAAAAACAAACTTTTATAGAAATATTTTAAAAAGGCACATCATGTTGCTATGAATAAAAAAATACCTTGAAAAAAAGATACAAAAGTCTTAAACGCAATCCAGTAAATTGCCAAACATATTTTTTATAGTTTTTTCCAAACAGTTATTTTTTTTTTCAGTTTCAGTTATTTTTTTTATTCATAGTAATTCTGTGCTTTTATCATTTTTAATAGTTTTTGTTTAAAATATTTCTATATAGCTGTGATTTGAGTTTATTTGGTTTAGTACTGTATAGATATATATATATATATATATCAGTTACTTGCCAATGTATAATTTTTAATTTCTTTAAGTTGAAGTTGTTTAATTTAATGTTTAGATTTTATCTCAACTTTTTCAGTTACCGTATAACAGTGTGTGTGTGTGTGTGTGTGTGTAATATTTTTGCACATCTTATTATTTTTCAGAATGGTTTTGAAATAACCTTCAACTTTGTCATAAAAAGGTGATATTTTACTTATTGAAATTTACACACAGTCATAAGGGTCTATAATATCATTAATTGATTCATTGATTAATTCATTCATTGATTTCTTGCATTCATTGATTGATTCATTCATTCATGTTCATTTGTTTGTTCCAAAAATGTTGTTTTTTCACAGATCACAAACTAAATCTAAAATCAGCTCTCTCATTGCTACAGTATGTTGAGTTTACAGATACAGATTACAGTGTTTGTGCGATTCAGGAATTGTAGAACACATGTAACATTTGTATGGCTCATTTGATACAAAACTGCTTCAGATTTGCTATCTGAGATATTTTCAACTGCTCGTTACACCACACCAACTAAAAAAAGCCATCAGATGGTCTCAGCAGAGCCTGTCCCCCTCCCCACAGGTGAACAAAACCTGCAATTTCCTTTATCCAAAAGAAAAAAAACTGCCGAACTCAGCATCACCTCTCAATCCACTTCTGGGCCGTCACCAAAAACGGCGGAGCATGCAGCGGGAGTGATTTCAGCAAGCACTTACGCTCGTCCTCTCCTGCTTTGTACGATTGGCTAAATTGGTGATACTGGCTTTGGTGGCACTGTAACAGAAGCCCTCATTGTCATCCTTCAGCTGCTGAGACATTGTTGGATCCGCGTGTCATGGTTGTCCTCACTTAACTGAACACTTTGCACGTAACAGCAGATGGCATGGCTATTACATATCATCTTATTTACCGCTGTGAGACATGCGGACTCCCGTCAAGGCAAACAAAAACCACCACACATTTGAATCTAGGCTGGGGTCGTTTCCCAATCCCACCCAACCCTCTCCCATGTGTCCCAGTCTCTCACTGTTCAGTCCCAATGAAGGCAAAACACCCATTAATATGGACTTAGTTGGCGTTTCTGCAACATTTTAAAAGTATTATTTTGTTCCAGTGTTAAAATATTGACGGATGTTTTGTGTGTTGTCGTTCCAGAGTGGTGAGTGGAAGGAGAGAGTCCTGCCTTCCCCCCTCCCTGCCCATTCCATAATCCGTAGAGCATCTTTCATGCGTCTCCCTGGGCCCCAATCCCACGTCAGGATGAATTGTGAGCAGGATTTTGGAGATGGAGGCATGAACGTCACTCTAACTCTCCGGCTGCTCATGCATGGCAAGGTAAACCCACGCACATACCACCACAAACATTTAGTGTTTTCAGTGCAAGACAACCCTGAGAGTAGCAGCCCAATGTTTAAATTTCAAAATGACTCTGTGCTCTGTACAGAAACCTCTTATGAAAATATAATCAGACCGAAGCACAGTGTTATTTTGTTAGCAATGCAGACTAGTTTACGTGTCACAACCCATTCATACAGAGATGTTTTAATACAGTCTGATTTAACTTGTAGATAGTATTAGCAAGTGTGATTTTGTTTGCGTTATTTTGATGATTCAGATTAAAATAATTCGACTGCTTCCATCGTAATTTTCACTGAAGTTCCCATGTGGGATTTTACATATTTAAACAATGTTAAAAAAGAAATTGTATGTGGGTCAAAGACATTTTCTTTTCAAGCATCAAAACAAGAATCATTAGATGACATTAAAAGACTGTTTAATTAATGATCATTTTAAATCTTTACCACTATCCTTCAAACCACTAGGTTTACCAATTTGTCAGCAAGACATTTTTAATCATTTAAAATACAGTAAAATTTAGTATGATCACTTGTGCTTTATATATATACACAGTGGTGTGAAAAAGTGTTGGCCCCCTTCCTGATTTCTTATTTTTTTGCATGTTTGTCACACTTTAATGTTTCAGATCATCAAACAAATTTAAATATTAGTAAAAGATAACAAGTGAACACAACATGCAGTTTTTAAATGAAGGCTTTTATTAAGGGAAAACAAAATCCAAAACTACATGGCCCTGTGTGAAAAAGTGTTTGCCCCCTAAACCTAATAACTGGTT